GGCTTCAATTTGTTAGTTTTTCTTACATGGTCTTTGTCATATTCTGTTTAAAAATGTGTTGGCTACCATAGGATCAAAAATATAGATCTCTATATTAACTTCCAGAGGCATTATTGCTTTACCTTTCAAATTTAGGTCTCTCAGATTTGGGTTTACCACCAAATTTAGATCTATAAACCATTGATTTTAGGTACAGTGTTAAGTATGGGATCGAGATTATTATTTTTATACATGAATAACCAATAACTCAGTACTATATATTGATTAGCTTGTGACTTCCATTACAAAATAGTGTCAGCTTTGCATAAATCAAGTTTGGTAGTCTGTTTCTGGACTCTTCCTATTAATTCATTTGTCTGTCTCTTCATGAAATTACACTATTCTAATGGTTTAGTTTCCTAATCAATGTATAAACTCAAACTCAGTAATTTAAGTCTTCTACCTTTGTTTTTATTTTTCATTTTTTCAAGATTGTCTTGGGTATTCTTGGTCATTTTCATTTACACATACATTCTGAATTGGCTTATCAATTCTAAAAGAACACTTCTGGGATTTTTTATTTTTATTTTTATTTTTATTTTTGAGATAGAGTCTCACTCTATTGTCCAGGCTGGAGTGCAGTGCGGGGATCTCGACTCACTGCAACCTCTGCCTCCCAGGTTCAAGCCATTCTCCCACCTCAGCCTTCCAAGTAGCTGGGATTACAGGCATGCACCACCACACCAGGCTAAGTTTTGTATTTTTAGTAGAGACAGGGTTTTACCATGTTGGCCAGGCTGGTCTCAAACTCCTGACCTCAGGTGATCCATCCGCCTCGGCCCCCAAAAGTGATAGGATTAAAAGCATGAGCCATCACGCCTGACCCACTTCTGGGATTTTGATTGAGGTAGCATTGAGTCAATGGATCAATTTGGGAGAGAATTGGCATATCAACAATATTGAGTCTCTGAACCCATTAACATAGTTTTACCTTCATTACCTTAGATATTCTTTAATTTCTTTCATTGTCATTATGTAGAGTTTATTATGGAGGGCTTGTAACTTTTGTTGGATTCATTTTTACATATTTACTTATTTTGACACTATTATAAATGTCTCTTTTTAAATTGTTTCTATGTGGAAACAAAATTGATTTTTGTATGTCAAGCCATCTAAAAAACGCATCAATACAAATAGATTATCTATAGATGCTTTTGTACTTTCTAAGTATACAATCATGTTCTCCACAAATAATAATGCTCAAATTCCTTTATTTTCAATTATGATTTTTATTTTTCTTCCATTTTTGCTGTGGTTAGAACCTCACACATAATGTTGATTAGAATTGCTGATAGAGGGCTATGCTAATTTAACTCCCAGTCTCAGGAGATAAGTGTTCAGTATTTTATTATGGAGTATCATTTTTAAGTAGATTTTTGTTGTTGTTGGTATTCTTTTACAAATTATGTTTCCTTCTATTTCTAATTTGCTAATAGTTTTTAAAAACATGAATAGGTATAGGTTTAATTAAGTGTTTTCTGAAGTAGTATTTCTGGAGTTCTAACTGGGAATATGGGGGCATTTCCTGGGCCACTCCTCTTTGACAGGCCTTGAATATGAATCCAGTTTCAGTAACTTTCTGCTTAAGCCTTTTAGCCACTTAGGGCTGCCCCACTTACGAACTGGTGAATGACTTGGAAGGAAGGTAGTGCAGAATGCATCACTTGCCTTAGTATGATTCCCTTCTCCTCCAGATCATGGCCCCTAAAGTTCTATTCATTTTGGTTGCATTGTCATACCTTCAAATATATATTTAAATTTTTTTCTGGACCCAGCTAGTCATACTTAGCAGAAAGATTAATGTAAGGCAGGCAAATCCGTCATGGCCTATAGCAGAAGTCTGAATTTTGTCTTTATTAGTAGTAGTGTCAGATTTTTCTTTCACCATTACAACTTGTTATTGGTAATATATGTCAATTAATAATATTGTCAATTTTGAGAATATACTCTATAGTTTTCATATATAAGCTGTTAGATTTGGAAACTTTTTTTTCCACAGACTAGCTCTGGCCCTGTATATTTCAACCATTGCTTCTTTTCCACAACCTGCACGTTTCGTGGGCTGCATGCTCCAGGACACATTGATATGATGATCTGACCTCTGGCTCAGCACTTTGCATCCTGGCTTTGGATAGAGCTGCATAGTAAGTGGTAGGAGTATTCTTGGAATCTATTTCTACATTGAAATTGCTAGCAATAAGTATAAATGGAAGTCACATCAAACTATGTAAAGATATCTCATTAACTCCAAACTAAACATTTCTCCCTCAAGCTCCTCTTAGCTAGCTCTGAAGATTCTTGTATCCACTCCAAAACTGCCCAGTACAAGAAGGATGATGAGGGAAGCTGGAGCAGAAGGAGAGAGCAGTCTTAACCTGTGCTTTTTCAATGGGGCAATATCACTTAAAGATGCACAAGTTAGTTTTTAGGAAATGGAATTGTACTCTTTTAAAAATGTATAAAGCACAAACATACACAGAATACCTAAATAAATATATCATCCATGGGTGGTATTAAAAATTCATGGGGAAGGGCAATTAGAAAAGAAATATGTCTTAAAACCTTGTTAGGGGAGTAGTAACTTTAAAAAATGTTAAGGAGCACTATTTTAACCATTTGAGGTGAATCTGTCTTCCTTCACAAATTTTATCGAGGTATATGACCATGTGAACCCATTGCTGTGGCTTTTATCTGTGTCTTGGGAAGGACTGAAACACGTGAGGACTCTTCATGGTAAAACCATCACAGACACACATTGCGGCAGGACTTCTGAACCATGGGAAGCTCACATGGCTCTTCCCCAGCTATAAGGATTTCAACCACAGGGAAATACACAATATAACCCACCAGATCAGAAACACCCATAGCAATTTCTCTTCAGTGGCACTGCCTTTCATCCCTGTCTCCGAATGCAGGCTGAGGGGAATATCTCAAATGAGTGAGTTGGAGAGTGGAGAAAGAGGGAGTACTGAGCCACAGGATGGGAAGAGAGAGGCCACAGCCTAAGCTCAGACTACAGTCTGTCAACCTGCCTACAAGGACATACTGCTGGACAAGTAAGCCACATGCTTAGTTATGCAGCTGCTCAAGCATTTACAAAAAGATGGAGGGTACATCAAGGCTACAGAAATTATATTACCCATGGGACTGAGCTTCCCCTAATCTTTTTTTGTACAAGCATCTCTTGCATCTCTCTCTAGTGCATTTTGCCTATTTCCATAATGTTACTATTCTTCAAGACCTATGTCTGTTCTTTTGCATATCAATCTTGCCTTACTCTCCAATATGAGTCCTGGGGTAGTCATGTTATTCAGTATTATAATTATTATTTTTTTCTTTGAGATGGAGTCTCACTCTATGTCCCAAGCTGGAGTTCAGTGACATGATCTTGGCTGAACGCAAACTCTGCCTCCCAGGTTCAAGCGATTCTTGTACCTTAGCCTCCTGAGTAGCTGGGATTACAGCCATGTACCACCACACTGAGTTAATTTTTGTATTTTTAGTAGAGATGGGGTTTTGCCATCTTGGCCATGCTGGTCTCGAACTCCTGACTTCAGGTGATCCACCCGTCTCAGCGTCCTAAAGTGTTGGGATTACAGGCGTGAGCCACTGCGCCGGGCCTCTAATTCTTTTTAAGAAAGTTCTATCTTCCTGAATAGTCTATGAATCTCTTGGAATAAAATTTTATGTTCATTCAGTTTCATATCTCTAAACTAAGTAAAACAATGCTTGCTTAAATTACTGAATATCAGGAGCAATTAGAACCTGCTACCATTGTGGGGCTTTGTGAGAGGAGGATAGGGAAGGAATGCTTAGACAATACAGAGGTGACTGTCTCTGTTTTCTAATATTCAGGCTTTAATGATGTATAATATCAGGGCCAGGTGCGATGGTTCATGCCTGTAACCCCAGCATTTTGGGAGGCCAAGGTGGGCAGATCACTTGAGGTCAGGAGATAGAGACCATCTTGGCTAGCACAGTGAAACCCCTGTCTCTACTAAAAATATAAAGAAACAGCTGGGCATGGTGGTGGGTACCTGTAGTCCCAGCTACTTGGGAGGCTGAGGCAGGAGAATTGCTTGAACCTGAGAGGCAGAGGTTGCAATGAGTTGAGATCCCACTGCTGCACTCTGGCCTGGGTGACAGAGTGAGACTCCATCTCAAAAAAAAAAAAAGAAATCAGGACATGACTGAAAACAAATGGGTATCCACATATATGCTCCAAGTTTCTATCCTGTTAATAGATCATAGGCACAGAATTTTTGGTTAATCCACTCAGATTAAAAAAGAAAATTTTACTGTCCTCTGCCTACTTTGTATTTTATTAATAATCGTGTATCATTTTGATCATAGCAAGGATTTGTAGCCAACAAGTAGATCCCAGGAGATTATTCAACATAAAGACTATCAGACCTTGATGCTTGATTCTGTTTCCAAAATCTTGTTTCATTTTTTTTTTGAGCTGTGAGATATATTGCTTATATATGGGAGGAAGAGACAAACTATGAAGACAGAATTATTAATTTAAAAGAAAAAGGAGACATTTTTATGATACAAAACACCTTAAAACAATTAAGGGTATCCTCAATTTGCTTTATTTATTTATTTATTTATTTATTTATTTATTTTAGAGACAGGGTCTTACTCTGTCACCCAGGCTGGAGTGCAGTGGTGTGATCATGGTTCACTGCAGACTCAAACTTCTGGGCTCAAACGATCCTCCTACCTCAGCCTCCTATGTAGTTGAGACTATGGTTGTGTGCCACCATGCCCAGCTAATTAAATTTTTTTTTTTTTTAAGAGACTGGGTCTTGCTCTGTTGTCCAGACTGATTTTGAATTCCTGGCTTCAAGGTATCCTCCTACCTTGGTCTCCCAGTGTTGGGATTACAGGTGTGAGCCATTGCACCCAGCCTCAATTTGCTTTGAATTGCTACTGGAGAATAGTAAGATGCAACTTACCCTTCTTGCCAATGGGCCCAGTCTTGCCAATATTGCCCTGATCTCCTATATCACCCAGTTCTCCTTTAATTCCTGAAAAGCAAACATGTTATCTTTTTATCATAAGGTTTTATCTTCCCTTGAAATGTGGCTAATGTGATATTCACTTGAAAGAAATACCAAAAAGTGTATTCTTCTGCCAGTGATAGCTAATATATATCCCGTGCTCTATTGTCTAGTTTAACAGACTTATAGTGTATGTATTAAAATTAACATGTGAGTGAGTATGAATATATACTATGGACATGATGATATTAAAATACTTGCTGATGTAGTATTTCTGGAATGACTATGGCAGAGCATGTTTAAAAGTAAGGTTAGAGAAGGGCCAAGTGAAAGTATTCTTGATTAAATTCTGTTTTTTTGTCTTCTTTAGCTGCATTCTGTCTTCCTTTTGGAATTCTATTTCTTCTCTCTTTTAAAACAAGATTTGACAATCGTGCCACTTAAAAACAGGGCGGGGAACGTGCAGTCATAAAACCTAATGATCAAAGAAACATTAGACATGGTCTTGCTGAATTTTCTTTCAAAAGACTACGGTCAGGAATCACTGAGCTCTTCCAATATTATTTCTTTTTATAAAAATCTAAAAAAAAATTGCCGATTAAAAATCTTTATTTTCTAAGAATAATTTTGTAATTGACATTCATATTTATAGATAGGTTTAAGTCAGCATTTCCCAAATTGAGGTCTCATAGGTCTGTAAGTCTCTCTTCCTTTTAAATTATTCAAGATTTAAAAATAAGTGGTCTAGGGCAGCCCTCTTCTCGCAGTTGACGAGAAATATTTTAAGTGTTCAGAAGGTGCACACAAACACATCACAACCCAGAAGCTATATTTTGGTAAGGCCAATGCCCAGCTTTGTGAGTGAAGACACTTCCTAATCACCTCTGTGTTACCCTCTTCATCTTTAATCCCACTTCTCCCATACCCCACCATTTCCCCACTGTGTTATTCTTTTGTATTATGAAAAGGGCGAGGGGGGGGAATTAAAGAAATAAAGAGATTTGGGGAAAGATGAATAGATCAATGAATCAGGTAGCTCTTTTTGTTTCTTTTTATCTTCCTCCTTAAACTCTAGGCCAGCTTAAAAAAAAATGCTGCTTAGCAGTGGCTTTAGAAGGGAGACACAGGTATGAACACAGCTCTATAACATATCGTTTCTTAATATTCTCAGAGACTGCTTTTCCCTGGGGCTCCCAGTGTCCCACACCAGCCAGCTCTAAGAATGCAACTTAAGAAACTGAGAGTCTTGTTGACAGGTAATCTCAGAGGGGCATTCAGATGGTGAGTTAATTCATGTGTGAAATATATTTCAGGCATTGCTGGGGCAGAGGGCATTATGAAAGCTGCTAATTTCCAGGGCAAGGGCCAGGAGAGAAAGAAGAGCAATTATGACATTAAAATGTCAGTTTCACATCATTTTAGTTACCTTTCGGCCCCATGCGTCCCACTTTGCCATGCTTTCCCTCTTCTCCTGGATCTCCTTTTTCACCATCATCTCCTTTTGAAACAGAAAATGAGACATAATGAAGCATCTCGAATAGTTACATGACCACATTCTCCCAGGGGAAGGTGGAGATGGTTACACTCCTTCCCTCAGCTCAGTGCTTGCCTCACAACCCAGCTGTGAGTATGGACATATGTTCACACGGACTTGACACTCAGGTGAAAGGAAGAAACTTCCAGTATATTTTATTTTTTACTTTTCTCCACATCCAACTCTATGTTTGAAGAAACATCCTTGTTGCTGAATTGAGATGTTTGGCCTGACAAATCTTTATTCTTGCTGTAGAATCTAGCAAATTCTTGATGGACAATAAACATAAAACTTACACACACACACACACACACACACACACACACAGAGAGAGGTACACATAACTTATTACTCTCTGACTGCATGCTTGGGAACCCCAAAATTGTAGGCATGACCTAGGAAGTTAAGAACAGGAGACTAGGGATGGGGAAGCCACAAAGCAGTTTTCTGTGAGTGGCAACTGTCTTAATCATAGGCAACTGTAGCTCCAGCACCTTGAAGAATTAAAGATTGAATGAATGGTTTAATGAACAGTGCCCAGACTGAGAATCAGGGGTCTTGGATTTTAATGCCATGTTAGTCACTGATGGGTTGAACAAATCTTCAACAGGCCAGTGATTGAGTGTATTGACTTTGGACTAGGACAGATTTGACTGAAGTCTCAGCTCCACCACTCACTATCTGGAGAAATTTGAGTACAGAACTTCCCCGAGTCTCATTTTCCTCTCCAGCAAATGGATCTAATAACACCTACTGGAGTGGGCTTTTAGGTAGTTTAAATGAGACAATAGACATAGAACACCTGGGATACAATCAGTGCTTAGCAATGATGGCTGCTGTTTTTGTTTCCTTTATGCTTCCTTTCCTAAATCTGGGGATAGTATCTGCTCTCCACACCTCACTCAGTTGTTTTAGGATCAACAAGGTGAGCATGTGAATGTGCTTTGAAAACAAAGAGCACAACATACACGATATTATGACCAGATACTTGCATTATCACCACAGCAATCTCAGGGCATGAAAAAGCCCTGTCCATCAGCAGAGGAAAGGAGGAGAAACAAAACCTTCTAAAGACAGAAATGAAGTTCTTGGGATTAGACAATTTGAGTGTGAGAAACTTGTGTTGTTCATTGATTTATCCAAGAAAAAAACACCACCAGAGATTTTCCCTCTTTTTATTTTTATTTTTTCTGAGTGCAGAATGTTGACATTTTAAATGAAAGCAAACACAATATATGGAAGAGTTGGATTTCTGGGTTGTGAGACTGATCAGACATTGAAATACTTCACAAAGGAAGCTATAAATGCCTCCTAGGATGGTTTTCAAAAAAGAATGCACAGGTGATATCTGTGGTCAGACCAGAGGGGAGAATTAGGTGAACTAGATGACATTTTTCTTCTTTTTCTTTTCTTTTCTTTTCTTTTCCTCCCTCCCTCCCTCCCTCCCTCCCTCCCTCCCTTCCTCCCTTCCTTCCTTCCTTTTTCCCTTCCCACTATCCTTCCTTCACACTATTCCTTCCTTCTTTCTCTCTCTCTTTCTCTCTTTCTTTCTGACAGTGTCTTTCTTTGTCACCCAGGCTGGAGTGCAGTGGTGCGAACACAGCTCATTGTAGCCTCAACCTCCTGGACTCAAGTGATCCTCCTGTAGATGACATTTTTCTAGCTAAAGTTAACATGAATGTCTATTGAGCAATTACAAAGTCAGTCAAGCACAAGCTAAGGACTTGACATGTAGTCATCACAGCAATTCTAGGAGATGGAAACTCTCATTGCTCTATTTTATGAATGAAAAAAAATGAGACTATGTGGTCAAGTTGCTTGCCTATTGTCATAGAGCTTTTTAGTAGTCAAATGAGGATTCAACAACATGTACGTTTCTATCCCTCTAGAATCCGCATGGTATACAGTTGTATCTTTTGGCCTAGATTCTATAACTCTTAGCAGATAGTGGATTTTACAGAATTTGGCATTCTGTCAAATTTTTCAGGGAGAAGAGGGGAGTTGCAGAAAGAGTGATAGTTTTTGTCTCCTTTTATACAAGAAAGATAATGGGAGAAAAGAAAAAAACCCAACTAATTCCTTAATGACTTTATTCACAGGAAATGTTTCCCTGGGATAGGGATAGGGTAGCATAACTGAGACACCACTTTGCCATTCACTGAGGGACTTTGGGAAGTCCTTTAACTTTTCTGAGCTTTTTTTCATGCATTCATAGAATAGACAAAAATTACACTTTTTTTTTTTTTTTCCCAGAGGGTGTTTAGCAAAGGTAAAGCTAGAAAAGTATTTTCCTTCAGGAAGTCCTTTCTAACACTCCCAGACTGGGTTAAATTCTCCCTCTAATTACCTTTGTGGCTTAAAAATAACACTTTATACCAAACATGTTGGCGTATCTCCACTTATCTCTTACATCTCCCTGTGATCCAAAGCATGGTGGGATCATAAGTGATTTATTCTAGCATTTCCAGAATTTAGCACAGTGCCTGGCTCTGGTGTTTAATAAATGTAGTTGAACTGAGTACACTTTGTGTGAACCATAAAACATTCTACAAATATAATACTGTTTATCAAATACTTTGTGCCAAAAATGTTCTCAGCACTTGGCATACAATCTATCATTTGATTCCCACAGCAAGCTTTGAGATGTGTACTATCCTTTGCTCCATTTTACAGAAGAGGAAATGGGGTCACAGAGAGGTTAAGTAACATCCAGGTCACATAGCTCATAAGTGGTCAAGCCAGGATTTAAACCAGGGTCATCTGTCCTAGCCCATGTTCTGAACAAGCTGGATGATTTAGAGTAAATTCCTGCCTTAGCATTTCTGGGTCTTGGATTGCTCTTCTGTACAATGGGACTAGTGATGCGCGTCCTGCTCATGAAAAGGCAAGATCAAAAACAAGCACGTATGTGAAGCCCTTTGAGAATCAAAATGCCACACAGATGTGATTATTGGTGCCATTATTCTTTCTCCTTCCTTCTTCCCCTTTTATAAGCTTTCCCATTCATTTTCAAGCAAGTGTCTCACTGGAGGCACCCTGGTGAGTGACTTAGTCATCTACTGCTCCCTGGTGGCTATTGATGGAGATCTGGGAGGGTGAAATAGGATTATTTATTATTCTTTGACCCATGTGACTGCATCCCAGCCTGGTGGCCAAGCAGGCTGCGGGTAGAGATGAAGTAAACAACTTGAACCCTAGCCTTCAGCGTGGGTCCCGGGTTTGTTTGATCTTTTACTTGCTTTAATGAGAACAGAAGGGAGATGTAAAAGCAAGCTTTGGCTGGGGCTGTCCACCTGGTTCACAGTTGTTTGTTTTTATATTTATTAGATGAGTAGGACCAATTTGGACTATTTTACTTCATTTAGAAATAGCCACTTGTATTTGAAAATTAAGTGAAAAGCTATAAATTGAAATGAATTAATTTCATTTTTACAAAAATGATTTGCTTTGCTCACACTCCCTCTCCAAGCCACCAGCAGAATTCCAACAGAGTACACATTTGACCACATTTTCTTAGATAGGACTTTTCCCCCGCAATTAGCAAAAAATCTTTTAAAATTGAATTCTAGTTGGAACCCAGGCCAGTACCCTTTACTCAAAGGAAATACTTATTGAAAAGTTGTGAATTGTTTTGGAGATGCTAAAAATAATTAATTAAAGTCCTTTTCCCATTGTCAAACAATCTTATAGACTGGGGAGTTGTTAGTAACCTTTGTCCTGATCAGCCTTAGAATTGAATGGGATAGGCTGGGCACAGTGGCTCACGCCTGTAATCTCAGCACTTTGGGAGGCTGAGGCGGGTAAATTGCTTGAAGTCAGGAGTTCAAGAACAGCCTGACCAACATGGTGAAACCTCGTCTAAGAATATAAAAATTAGCTGGGCATGGTGGCAGGTTTCTGTAATCCCAGCTACTTGGTAGGCTGAGGCAGGAGATCGCTTGAACCCAGGAGGTGGAGGTTGCAGATTGTGCTACTGCACCCCAGCCTGGGTGACAGAGCGAGACTCCGTCTCAAAAAAAAAAAAAAAAAAAAAAAATTAAAATAAAAGAATTGAATGGAATAGTTGGTATGTTGTGCTTTCTTAACAAGGCAAGAACTTCTGCCTAAAATATATCCTTCCCACTCCTACTTACATTTTCTTCCCATCTATGCCAATTGCATCCTCATTCTTGGAAATTTCAGTAGTCATCAATTATGCCCCATACCTCTTACATACATGACATGTACCAGTAGAGTCATAAAACAGACCACTCCCTAGCACTTTTACTTCCCCAATCTCAACCTCATCACTTCACTGAAATCTTCAGGCCTCATTGGGACCTGCTATTGTTTGCCTTCTCCCCATTCACCCATTTAACATTCCCTTGGCACCTTCACCTACCCAACCTGCCTATTCCTGGCTATCCTGAATTCTTTCAAGTCAGCCACTTCTGCACAGCTTTCCCTAAGGTAAAGAAAGTGCAATGCCTTGGTTAAGAGTACTCTGGAACAAGTCATTTCGTTTCTTCAAATCTCAGTTTTCTCATCCATAAATGGAGAGAATAGTCCCAACCTCATAGGATTGCTGTGGATTAATGGAGACAGTGGATGAAAAGTGTTCAACACCATGCCTGGCTTAGTTGGTAAACTCATCAGTGTCTGCTTTAATGAGAATAGAAGTAGATGAGTGATTATTTCTTCATATTCACTACCTCAATCTCTATTATATAATCATTACTTACTCTTTTACTTGGCTGTATGTTTTTTTACCCTTTATTGTGAAACTTTTTCACATAATTAAAGATAAAAACCCATTACTGAGATTGACCAATCTGCACATTGTTATTGCTTCATGTATTTATTTTTGCTATATTTTTTTAAAAAGTAAATTATAGACATGAACATATCTCCCTTAAGTACTTCAGTGAGTGATTCCAAAGGGTAAGAACAAACTCCCATATAAACATATTATCGTTATATCAATC